ATTTTGTGGTCTAAAGCAGTTCTCACTACTGCCTTTTAATAAATCGAATGCCCCCTCATGCTCTTTAGGGCAGATCTCTTGCTTAAATTATTTATCCAAATTCTCCCTTGTTTCCTGTAGCTCCCAAAGTATTTGGTTGCATATGTTTTGTCCACATTCTTGGTCCAAAGAGGGACAAACTTGATGCTAAAGCTGTCAAATGTGTTTTTTTGGGATATCCATCACATCGACAAGGATTTGAGTTTATGTCCTTTAAACAAAGTCCATTATGTCTCCATGTATGTTACTTTCTTTGAATCTGTTGCGTACTTCTCGTCTACTGGTCATGAGTGCACATCTTTAGGGGGGGCAATAAGATACATTTTAGTGGAGAGAGCACATGTATGGTTCTCTTTCCTGTTCCCACACCATTTTTATCTGAAGAGAATGGTGCATTTGAAAAGAATGGTGTATACCTTGAAAAGGAGCTGAAGACGTATACCAAGAGAAAGAAGGTACAACCTGAAGTTCCGAACGATTATATACCCCGTATGCTAACCCGAAATCAGGAACTATTCCTGATAGGTAGTTCTTTCACCTTTGATAGTCCTAATGTGGGCTTACCCATTGTTGTATGCTAGGGTAAGTGTTCTTCTACTCCGCGTCCTATAGAAAACTTTGTATCTTATAACTCTGTCTTCTTCTTAAGCCCTGTCTTCTTTTTTGAATACGTCTTGTGTTGTAGAGGGACTTTCACAACCAAAAGGAAGGCTGCCATGGTTATGAGATGAAGCATTTGAGCAAAATAAGACATGGGAAATCACCAACCTTCCTAAAGGGAAGAAGGTCGTAGGATGTCGTTAGGAGTATAAGGCTAATGGCACTATTGAAAGGTATAAAGCTAGATTGATTGTGAAGGGTTTTTACATAGACTACTGGCATAGACTATTAAGAAACATTTGCACCTGTGGCCAAGTTGAACACTGTGAGGATCATTCTTTCTTTAACTGCTAATAAATCTTGGCCTTTCTACCAGCTAGATGTAAAGAATGCATTCTTCCATGGAGACATCTAAGTACGGTCATGCCTCTAGGTTTACAAATTAAGGAGAAGACAGGAAAGGTGTGCAAGTTAAAGAAGGTGATTTATGGACTTACACGGTCTCTGAGAGTGTGGTTTGAAAATTTCAGTAAGGCATTGTTAAAATTTGGGATTAGAAGGAGTCAAGTTGATCATATGCTCTTTTGTAAAGAAGAATAGTGCTGGTTTTATAGCCTTTATAGTGTACATTGATGATATTTTTATGATAGGGGATAATGTGAACTATATTGAAGATGTTAAATCATATCTATGCAAGCTGTTCGATGTCAAAGATTTAGTTCCTTTTAAGTAGTTTTTGGGAATTGAAGTTGCAAGATCAAAGTAAGGGATAGCCATCTCATAGAGAAAATATGTGCTTGACCTATTAAACAAACTGGGATGTTAGGAGTTGGATCAGCTGATACTCTTATAGAAGTCAATCATAAACTTCATAGAGAAAGGGGAGAGTTACTCAAAAATACAACCAGTATCAATGAATAGTGGGCAAGCTCATATAGCTCTTGACGCACGACCAGACATCTCATATGTTGTTAGAGTGGTTAGCCAATTTATATATGCACTACGTAAACCACATCTTGATGCAGTGTATCAGATACTGAGATATCTCAAGTCTACTTCAGGGTGAGGGATATTTTTCTCCAATCAAGGGTATCACACTCCAATCAAGGGCGAACTGATTGGAGATCCACAACTGGCTTTACTCCTTTGGTTTAGGAAATCTGGTCTCTTGGAAAAGCGAGAAAAAAAATGTGGTGGCAAGATCAAAAGTGCTGAAGTGGAATAGGGTTGTTGCTCATGGTACATGTGAAGTAATGTGCGTCAAAAGTATTTTGTATTTCTATATGATGTGGGGGTTAAAGCTAAGCTTCCCATGACTTTGTACCGTAACAATGAAGCTGCCATTCATATCTCTGAGAATCCTATATTTCACGAAGGAGTAAATACATTGAAGTCTTCATTAGATAGAAGTTTGCTGCCAAGATCTACCATACTCTTTACTTGAAGTCTAAAGATCAGCTTGCAGGTATCTTCACCAAAGCTGCTGGATGGGATAAACTACAAGATATCCCAAGCAAGCTAGGCGTGATGGATAACTATACACCAGCTAGAGGGGGGACTGTTGGAAATAATTAATTATCATTATATCTAAGGGGTATAAATGTCTCTTTATTTTTTCTTAGGACTTATATGTCCTATTCATTGTGCCATGGGTAGTATTGTAATTGGTTACTTTTATTAATATAAAATGAGGAACATGCTAGTCATTTCAGACCATCACTCCACTCTCCTGTCTCTCTCTCATGCTTCTCTCTCTCTCTTCTTTCTCCCTCTATTACAACTCTCTAATCTCTTGATTTTATTTTCCTCTCCTTTTCTCATCTTTAATTTGCCCTAGATTATTTTTTAACTTGTACTCCTCACCCTCACGCAATTATTAAAATATATAAAAATATTTTGGAAAAATATAATGATTGAAATACCACCGAAACTCTACATTATAGTCTATCAATCTCATGCATCCACTCTTGATTAGACGGTTGAGAGCATGTCCGAGTATTTCTATTTTTATCATTTTATGTATGTGGGATTGAGATGAAATTTTTGTTCATTTCCTTCTCAATCTCACCCATGTGTAAAAAGTATAAAAAAAACATATTTTGTAAAAATTGGAATGATTGAAGTACCCTTAAAACTTTGAGGGGTATTTTGGTTGGTCTATTTGTTTGAATTTTTGAAATATTTTTATAGGTGCAGCCTAATATGGTGCACACACCCTCCAAAGTTTATCTTGATCGGATTTCGAAATAAAAGAAAAATGTATGAAGATGCGTCCCACATTTTTAAAACAATAAAATGGTCCAAAAAAGGGAAAGCTGCATTTTTGAAATTTTACTCTTTTTATCGTGGGTTGTTTTGGGTTGGGCCTTTTTTTCTTTTAATTCCTATAGAGACCCTCTTGGGGGAGTTGGGGGGGAGAAGGTGGGGGTGTGGGGGGGTGGTTGGGCTTGGAAGACAACATTTCTCATTTTTTGACAAGTTTGGACTTCTTTTCATTGTAGCATTCCTAGTTGCCAGAATGGGCATTGGTATAGGGTACCATAAAGTTTGAGTGCTGGCAGCCAAATTTCTTTAGAAAGAGATCTCCTTGATAGATTTTATCTTTGCCATGGGCGCAAATGTTAATGTTTTTGTATTGTCTCCATATTTGTTTGTGGAACAAGGGAGGCTTTAATGGAAGTTTAGATTTGAAGTTCACCATATACACTCAATTGTAACCATCTGAGCTTTTCACTCTAGGCAGCATAGCCATGTTCCACACTCTATTTTCTTAAGGCTCTCACCTTTCGTTTTGTAAACTTTATTTTGTTTAGGAAGCAATATAACCTATAGTTACTCGAATCGCCCACTGAGGTCATGATTCCGATTCAGAATCTCAATTCTACGTTTCTCGGGACGAAACTTGATTCTGGAAGAAAGGAATCACGTTTCCAAGTTTCTAGAAATGCGATTCAATTTAGTATATGAATCTCTATTTCTGGAAGCCTGGAATCAAGATTCCTTATTGCAGAATTTGTGATTCTTAGCTGCACAATAATGCCATTCTACGTGTGCGATACGTTGATTCCAATTATTTAGGAATTGTGAATCCATGTTGTTTTGAAGCAAGTTCCTTATCATTAAAAAGCATGGTTCACAAATGCAGTGAACAATGTTCCGATCAACATTGAATCAAGTTTTAAATTTGGGGAATATTTGAAATTTTTATTTTCGTTTTTCTTCTAATTTCTATCCTTGTACTCGAAATCCATAATACTTTTTAACAACTCTTAACAAGCATAAATATTATTAAAAAAAATTGTTACTTTAAATTTAATAGTTTTTGGTAGATGTTGTGGATAATGTAGTTTTGTTAGATATATGATGGGTGATCCCATATGGTGTTTTAGGTTAAATTAATCTTTAAATATCAGAAATTGAATTAAAATTGATTTAACTCAAATTTCTAAACTACATTTAATAAGGAAGGAGAATTCCTATTTCATTAACTTATTTTATAATTATAGGGAAAGAGATAAAGGGATCGCACCTTTGTTCTCCCTAGTTGTATGCCTTAGACCAAGTGCAGGGCCTTTGGTAGGCGAAGGGTTGTCGGTAGACCGAGTCCATTGTATGTGATTGCCATTGGTAATTGGATTAAATATATGTAGACCAAAATTCAATCTTGTAAATAATGATAAAACTTAAATATCTTCTTAATACTTCTCTCATATACCGGAGGGGATTGGTGCACGATTCTTGAATAAGGAGAATATCGATTGCAGAATAGTGAGAATCTCGATTCCAAGTCGTATATATCTATGACCTTGTGACTGACCCAAGTCAACTTGGGGCCAGGTCAAGTGGACAGGGACCCAACCTGTTAGCCACCACTAAAAATATGTGATTTACTCAGGAAATTCATGGTTTAGAACATATAGAGGTCATGTGCCACATAAAGTTTGAGTATAAATGCAGGTAATGAGATAGCAAAAAAGTATAACAGCATCAGATCAATTAAGAAAGAAAAACGATCAAAAAAAGAATACATGTGTTCCTTTGTGACATGGTGACCTGCAAGAAGTGTCAGTTGTAACTTTATTGTTTATGCATTCTTCTATTTATTGTTTTCTTCCTTTTCTGCTTTCTCTACAAGTTTCTTTGTTCCTTTTTTTGGATTTCTTGGTGGTATTTTGTCTATTGAATTATGAGTTCGCAAAAACACACGAAGTTTCAATGCTGGACCTTTGGTACATGCTTCGGAGAGAGGTTTTGCATTTATTTCTACTCAGTCCATGACTTGATAACTAGCTAATATTTCATTTACTAGTCAGTTCATGACTTGATAACTAGCTAAATATTTCATTTACTACTTATGACAGAGTGTGGATAATGAAATAGTTTTGTGGGAACCATCTATGAAGGAGCAGAGTTCTGGTGAGGTGCGTTTCTTCTTATTGATATTTGCCTTGTCTATTTTGTTACTGATATGTCATGGTTTTTCTCACTTTTGCTTTAGGTTGAAATAATTTTTGAATTATGTTTGACCTCTCTTGCATCTCTTGAGAAGGTTTTGCTATCTCATTAAACTTTTGGATGGAATTTTCCTCTTAACTATTGAAAAAAGCTTTTGTTGTTCATCTACTTGATGTGGTCCTTGTAACTATTGAAAAAAGCTTTTGTTGTTCATCTGCATGATGTGGTCCTCGTAACTATTGAAAAAAGCTTTTGTTGTTCATCTACATGATGTGGTCCTCGTAACTACTGAAAAAAGCTTTTGTTGTTCATCTACATGATGTGGTCATCACACGTGTGATGACTAAAGAAAGCAATTCTTTTTCAAAGACTACCTAACTCCGCCATGGCTGGTCCCAACCTGGTCATGCTGGTCCTAAGCCTGGATAAAGGAGGAGGGTTGTGTTATGTAGGACAGCCAGGGTAAAACTTTGCCACATCTTTTCAACCTAGATGAGTGCTGAGTCATTGACTCTAGACAAAGAAATACAGCATGGAGCCTTGGTAGTCATTCCCTAGAGGGATCCTGCTACAGCTTGAGCTATCATAGGCTTTGCTAAGAACTCTAGAAGAACGGGCATCATTCTACCCAAGCCAGGGTTGGAACCTTTTTTATTCTTGGTTTTGAAGGGACAGATTGGTGCATGCATGTGTTTGTGCATGTATGTACACGCCTCCACCTCCCTTCCTTTTCTTATAGTCTATGAGGACTCATTTTATGAGTAAGGTCTTTAAAAAAACAAAGAAGATGGAAAATAAGACTCTGATCTACAAACAAAAAAACAAAAAAAGAAATAGCAAAAAGTTTTAGTTTAGTTCCTCCATGGATCTTTCTCTTTTAAGTTTTACATTGTTTTCCTGTTTTGCCCTTCCAGACACCAGATTTTCAGTGTCTAAGATTTTATTTATACTTAACATTTAGCCATTAATTTATGTCTGTTTATGGAATTTATGTGCCATAAGAAAAATTAAGGAATCTAATCTATCAATTGATGTATCATACAAACAAAATGAGACTTTATTATGTATGCTGTGAGCCTGTAACCATTCGTTCATTATACCAGTGTGCAACAAGGATCCAAATGTTTGATTCTTCAAACATCTCAAGAAACTTGTTTACTTCTTTTATATTGTCTATTGATTTTTACATAGCTTTATAGATCCGTTTGTTTTTACATTTTTGATATATGTTTTCTCTTTTTAGTGTCTTATTGTAATATGTCATGAGATTATTTATACTAGTAGATTTACGTGTGTTGCACGTTGCAATAAGACAAATAATTTAAAAAAAGAAGAAAAAACTCAAGTACATCACACCATTAAACAACTTCTCTCATTAATACAGCTCCCTCATCAAGACCTCTTACGTTGCTGATATGGACATATAATCTATTACTAGAAATTTAAAATCAAGTAGGGGTCTTCTTCCCCACTGACTCACCAAAAAAAGTTCTATAAAACTCAAATCTTCATCTCTCCACAATATTCTTAGAATCTTACACTCATCAGTTTTAGGAACAAATTTCTTAACTTTACCCTACCTCTAATGGAATCATCACATGCATGATTTGCAGAAGCTCCAGGCCATGACCCGACGTCGCCAGCGTCTCCCTCATCGCCATTGTCCCCCCCATCTCTCCTAGAAAGAAATTTACGCCTTATACCCTATAACCCTCCGTCGCACCGCCCACCCGAAGTCTCTTCCGCCTCCACCTCGGCCCTTACCTCTGTCCGACGCTTGTGTTGCTTCTTGCCCCTCTCCTGTCCTTCTGAAGCATAAGCAGCAGGAGCCTGTCTCCCCATCCGTGTCTTCTCAGGTTTCCCTCGTTTTACCTTTCTGTATCACCACAAGTCCTGAGGAGACAAATAGACTAACCAGGAAACTTTCGGTTGCCTTGGTCAAGAGTTTTAACCTGGTGCGAAATGACTCAAAAGGGATCGATATGTGAGGGGAGCCCAATCTTATCAGTAGATGGCTCTCTAATGAAGGCTACTTGTTCTCCTTCCCATCGCAGGAACAGGCTAAACAGGCCTTACTCAAAGAGCCTAATCCTTCCTTCAAAGGTGTTCCCTGTTCTCTGTGCCGTTGGTCTCCTAATGAAAGTTTCTACAGGATGCAGAGGGTATGTCTTACCCTTCATCATATCTCGTTGCATGCTTGGTTTCTTGCAACCTTCAAAATACTGGTGGCATCTTGTGGTAAACTAGTTTCCATCCCTGCCTTTAGGATCCATTCGCCTCTTGTTCGAGGTCCTGGACACTACAAAGATTTCGAGCACTCTTTGGCTGGATGTTAATGAACTCTTCTACCCTATTTCGATCTCATGGTCCTCTGCTTCGTCTTCCTCACCAGATTTCCTTAATCAACCTATCGGGGAATCTCTTCCGGATATCTCTTCCCAGCAGTGGGTGGCGGTGACTAAGAAGAATCACAAGCATTTGAGATCTCGTTGGAGACCCCCTGATAAGTAGCAGCGGCAATCTTGGCACCCACGATGGCCGAATCCTCATGAAACGGCTAAGAAACCCTCATTTTTCCTGGTTAGGGACTCACAAGTAGGCCAAACTCGGTTTGACTCGCTCACCGTCCAGGAACCGGTGTTGAACTCAATGGGGTTTCCAAGCCCTTCGGTAGAAGTGGGTGCTGCAGCTGAATTGATTCGACGTCCGAGGAAAGAAGTTTTCGTGGATTTCAAGCCTCAAAACTCGTCGGGTTTTGACGACCAACCCGGCCCATCGTCCTCCCCTCCCCCTCTTTCACCCCTGCAAGTCTCTGGGTAGGACCCTCTACTCAACCCATCCGACCCTCTCATCTCCCCCTCTCACTTTTCCCCTCTCTCCTCTCAAGGGGCCTCCACGTGCCCCACTCCCTCACCTAACCCCTCACATCTGCTGCAAACCTTGAAACCCATGCGGCTGCCCTTGTCGCCTGCCTCCTCCCGCGTGGTATCTGAGGTCCCTCTGCCGCAGAAGGTACAACCCGAGGCCGGCCACCTGTCTGTGCTCCAAACTGCCCCCTCACCCTCTCTCCCCCAGGTGTCCCCTTCTGGCATTTATGACCCCTCACCTAACCCACATCCTTTTCCCCTAGGTGGCGAGCCTCAGCCCGACCCGCCTTCCCTTGCCCTTCCCCCCTCTCACCCCCTACAGAAGGGCCCGCTACAAGGGACGATTGATCCCATTGGTCGTCTACCGCTTGCCCCATGCCAGCTGGCCTTCATCCAGCCTCTGTTCGAGAAGACTCCGTCGATTCGATTAGTATTGACGAACCCTGCGGAGAGCTCTTCAGGAGGCTTTGCTTCTCCACTAGTCTCCTCCCCTTTCTCTCCCCCCTCTTAACCTCCTCACCCTGAACCAAGGCCTGACGCCCTTACTACCTCCATCCCTTCCTGCGATTATGGGGCGGTGCAACTCCTCGAACCCAGCTTTGTTACGTCCCAACCTGCTGCGTGGAGGGCTGGCTCTCAGCCCCACCCTACCTTCCTCTCCCTTTCCTTCTATCTGCTTAACCTTGACTCCCTCTATCTCGAGGGTTCCAAGCGTTTCCCCCCTTTGAAGATGGACAACGACCTCTCCCCCGTTGGCATTGTCACCGCCCTTTCTTTGGACCCCTCCCCTCCTGATCCAGCTTCTGTCGCTGACATCCTGGCCCCCCACCTCTCCTTTACCCCTCATCTTGTCCACATCCATAGAACCCAGACCATCCACTAGGTTTGGCCCCTAGACTCCCCTTACTCCCTGTCCTCTTACACCTCCATCCAAACTTACCAATTCCTGACCTATGTTCCAACCATCTCCTTCCTACCGATAATGCCACTATCTCGTCTTATCCGACTACTCCTCTTGTTCAGGATATGGATAACACCCCGGTTGCTAACCCGCCTCCCCTCCATCCTTCGCCTCCCGTCTCTGAACCTATGCTGGCCTTCTCTCCTCCCGTCCATTCTAGTTCTAGCTTTAGCTCCCCTCCTTTCCCAACCCTACCCTTTGATCTTTACCCTGTGGCCCAGCCTCTCGTCTCATCCGTTGAAACTCTTGTTGAACCTAAGACCCTGGGTGATGTGGATACAGAAGAAAATTTAGAAGACAGGCCTAACTTAGAGGAAGATAGGATGAGAACTATGTACAAGATAATGGGTTTTGAGTATAATGGACCAAAAGGACCAGCACACAAGTTCATCATGGCTGATGTTGATAGCAGAATGCAGGTGAGAATCAAAGACCAAAGAGAGCTTTGTAACCTTTTCTCTTTCTTTTCCTCCCAGGGAAAGTTATTGAATTCAGCCCCTCCCCATCCATTCTTGGTCACCCGAGGAGGTCCCCTAGACTGTCCTCCTCCCAGCCACCATCGATCACAAATGAAACTGCTCATTTGGAATATTAGGGGCCTTGGTCAGGACTCCAAGAAAGGCGCTGTCAAAGCCTTCACCCTGAAACTCTCCCCGTCTGTTCTGGCTCTCCTTGAAACTAAACAGCCTGAACTTGACCTTAAGCTTGTTCGTCGGGTCTGGGGTAGGAATCCTTTCTAGTGGGTCTCTCTGCCCTCTTTTGGAGCCTCTGGAGGTATATGGGAACCCTCCTCCTTTCTAATATTTCTGATGGAATCCCCTGGAAATTCTCGGCTGTCTATGGCTCGGATTCAAACTCCTTAAGACAAAGATTGTGGGCTGAGTTGGATCACATAGCCTCCCTTCCCCATCCTATTTGGTGCATGGGGGGAGATTTTAATGTGACCCGTTGGTCCCACGAGAGAACTCATCTTCTATCACCCAAGAAATGAGGCAGTTCTTGGATTTTATAAACCGAAACCGGCTGATTGATGTCCTTCTTCAAAGCAGCAATTATACTTGGTCCAACCACAGCTCTGTTCCCACCTTCTCAAACTCGATAAGTTCTTGATTTCAGCAAATTGGGAGGAACATTTCCC